AAATCGGAGACAACGGAGCACAACATCTCGCTGATGCATTACGACACAACACCGTGACCCTCATTCTCTCTTCACCTCTCTCATATATCCATCTACACTTTTTCACACAGACACTCACCACACTAGATCTCTACGACAATCAAATCGGAGACAACGGAGGACAACATCTCGCTGATGCATTACGACACAATACCGTGACCCTCATTCTCTCTTCACCTCTCTCATATACCCATCTACACTTTTTCACACAGACACTCACCACACTTATTTTCTACAAGAATCGAATCGGAATGGAGCGGAAAGCTCGTTTGGACGAATTGATACAACGAAACATAGGAGGAAAATAAGAAGATCGATCGATTTGAAAATATTAGTATCTGAAGAACTAAAATTTTGCATTGAATTTATGATTGAGTTTTTGTTGTGTTGTATGGTACCTGAAAAAGTGAATAAAGTATCTTTTTTTTTAAAGTAGAAGATGGGTAACTCAAGAATTGGGTTTGGTTGTTGATTCTTGCTGTGTACATGATTTGAGTGGAACGAATATCTTGAGGGTGTGGGTGTTGATATGAGTATAAGTGGAGAGAACCTAATCCCCACAGTAACACCCTGACTCAGTACGTTCTCTACGGTTTGTTGACAATACTTTTGACAGTTTGATATCGAGTTTAAATTCTTTTTCTTTTTTTGGTATGAACAATTATTTCGAATTTAAAAATGATTTCTAAAGTTGAAGAAGAGAGAACTATCTGTAGAAAAAAAGTTGTCTACTAACCGACACACACTTAAAATATCGACGAAACTAAAAAGTTAATCTATAAATATTCAAGAAAAACTTTATTGGAAAAAAACCAACTAATTGTTAACTAATTTCTCAAGTATATGATCATACGTACATTTTTATTATTTGTAGAACGTAAAAAGTATTGTTAACTAGAAGAAAAAAACAAAATATTTTATCAAATAAGGAAGATATCAACTGACGTGATATTTTAATCAAGCATGATCATTTATCCATTTGTACAGATGTGTAAATAATCAACAAAGCATTTACAAACAATTATAAAATGGTGGAAACAATGAAGATGTTATAAACATTTCTATCTTCTTTTCCATTGAATAAGACGCATGAAGTATTGATTTCGGTAAAAAAAAAGTAAATATTTTCTGATCACAAAGGCATAAAAATTTTCCTAAAAGAAAAAACAGTATAAAAGTGAAATAGAGTGTATACAATATGTACATGCTATTTGTTTTTTTCTTCATTCTGTAAAATAGCATTTAAATTCGATTTTTATTCGGGTAGCATACATTTTGTTTTTACTTAGGACATTAATTGTTTGAAAATACTCTTCCATTAGTTCTTATAATGTTAATTTAATCGAACCAAAAGTTCATATTTATTATAATTAAAACTAGTTTAAGTTCATAAAGAAAACTATCTAAAGTAATCGTATATTTTTTCTATATAATGAAAATAAATTGAATTATCAAATGAATGATTCTAATTGAGATATTGCATAGATTGAATATTAAATTAAATCATTTTCGATAAAGTTTCTTAAACGATTCTACAAAAGTTAGTTCAATTGATATTCTTTTCTTAATTGAGTTCTATTTATCATAGAATTTCAATATCTAATCCAATGAACTTGTTTAAAATAATTCTATTCTTTAAATTTATTATATGACAAGAAGAAAAAAGGAAGTTTGTCGATTCATTTTTCTATAATGCAACAATTTTAGTTGAATTTAATTTTTTTTTAAGAAAAGAGAAACGTTCTAATGAGAAGTTGGATGGGTGTGGGTGGGTGCGTGTGAATCTGTTGTTTAAGTGTACCCACACCGGACCCACACCCACAAACGCCCACCCACACCACACACTCACACACCCACACCCACTGCCCTCCCCCCGCCCATGGGCACCCACACCCGTCGATTTTTCGCCGCCGCCGCCGATCGAGTATAGGGTCATAGTTCAAGCTTCCTCTGTTTCTAAATTATCACTTGTTGAAAATAATCAGTAATATCTCAAGTTTGATATACGTGACAATTAGAGATTGCTGAAACCAACATAACTTTTGAAAAATAGGAATTAGTGTATTTTTTCTTGGATGACATATGGTCTGAAAATCGAGCTGATAAGCAAATATGTCTCCTTGTGATTTTGTGACGCTACCATATTTATTAGGCTTTCATTTGCCTTATTCCTTTATGCACAATAGATTCATCGCTATTATTTTCTTCGTTTCGCGATTTTTGACTTATTTAGTGTGCAGTTTCGACTAATTGCCTAGTTTGAGTTCGAATATAGATGTAACTAACATTGCGATTCGAATTCGAGTTCCAATCGACGCTCTCTTGCCGGTTTAGAAAAAAGAAAAATATTTAGTTTCAATTTGAATTCAAATAATCAATGAAAACAAATCATGCTCTTTTTCTCCACTCACAGAAAAGTATCGATTTGAATTTGGATTCAAATTCTAATTTCAATGTTAGTTTCACTTATGATCTAATTCGAGCTACCAGAGGGATGGCGCATTATCTTTATTTTACTTTGAAAAAGTAAAGTAAAGTAGGGTAAAGTAAAATACTATAGTTTGAATGTGGAAAATAAAGTGAGATAAAGTTAACCAAACAATATTTTTCATGTATTCATAAAAAATCGACATTTTTCGGCTTTACTTATTTTTTTTTCACACTAATTTTAAGACGAAACGATATTGAATAAACTTTGATACGTTCTAAGACTATTTCTACACGATCCTGAACTAAGAAATTGCCAAAAAATTTAAAACATACAACTTCATTTTTTTCACTTTACTTTACTTTTTGCGTAACGTATTTAACTTTACTTTAACGGGTAAAGTAAAGATAAAGTGCCAGCCATAAGCTATCATGTTTGAATTTAACTTGTATTTTAGATGAATAGTCACATTATTGCCATTTTGGCTTATATGATGAGTTCTTGTTGTGTGGTTTGAAGTTATTTTATGATGGGACAATGTGAATTTTTTGAATCAATGAAAATAAAGTTACATCTAGTGGAAAAATTTTTCCATAAAAAGACATGAGCGTGCTAAGAAGAAAACAGCGTTATAATTCTGTGAGAAAAGAATGTCTAATGTTTGTCTTAACGGTAGGGATCTACGAAAGACTCTGTGAAATAACATAGGAAAAATTTTGTTGTCGCTGCCGCCGAAAATGACCGCCTCGGCGAGAGCTTCTCGCCACCGCCGCCGATGCCTTAAAACTTTTCCGTCGCCGCCGCCTATCAAATGGTCGGCTAACACCTCTACCCATACCCACACCCCTATCAGAACTGTGTCCAGCTCAAGCCGAAAGCCGATCCGAGTCAGTTTCAGACCAATTTCATACTGATTTTTGTGATTTCATACAATTTTTAGGCGACTCCAACCAATTCCAATTCCAATTCTGACCAATTCTTACCAATTCCAATTCCGATTCCAACCAATTCCTACCAATTCCAATTTCAATTCTAACCAATTCCTACCAATTCTAAGAACTGGAATTGATTGGAATTGGAATTGGTGCATCCCTACTTATAACACTCGGATACTTATTATTAAATATTCAATTGTTGAATATAGATGTATGCACTTTCTCCACCACTCTTTGAATTACTTGCTAAACATCTTCAATTAACAAATTCAAAATTAGCTCGACAGTATCCAGCTGTTCATTACGGTGTACTTAAAACTCTTTATTCACATTGTGCAGCGTTAGTAATCAGTTTAATATGATCGAAACTTTTGTTTTGTAAGATAAATTTCTATGATTATTTTAGACATGAACATTTTATTCATTATTCAGATTTATTTAAACAAAATGATACAACAAATGTGATGAGTTTAACAAGTTTAACATAAGATAATTTTGAAGATTTACTTAAACTCCATCATCGCCTTATTGTTAATAGTCATCTTAGTTGCCATGATACAAAATAAGAATATCATTAATATATAAATAAAACAATGTGCTTGTTTTTCTTTTTGTTAATTAGAAAATTAGTATTAAATTCGCTCGCCAAAATTATTGATGCACTACCATAAGAAGATAGTGGATTACTTTCTTTATCACTTTTACTGGAACTTTCTCATGCTATTGTTGATATAGGTAAAAAGAAAAAAGTATTCTTGAATCATATCAGATAATAGTGTAGAATAAAGATTTTCTGTTATTTCAATATCCTTGACTTTGTGTATTTCTAGATCGACTTCAGAAGTAACATAGAAGGATATTATTTACTTAAAATTTATTTGACCAAATCAATGCATGACATAGTATACTGCCAATTTTGTACAGAAAAGAATCAGCTATCCGATATGGAGATCTTTCAAAAAACTCGGGAAAATGGTAGAAGCTTGGAAACAGCAATCTGATAGCCAGTTTTTCTCTAACTATCAGCAAACTCAACTATCAGATCCCTGCTTTCAAATTTATACTACTTATCTATATTTTTTGATGGAGTCCTGCAGGTAATTTAAGGATGGGAATGCTACAATCATTGTCCTTCTCGAAGGATGGAGCGAAAATATCATGTCGAGTGAGATGTTATAGAATTGATCGCTGTATAGTCATTAGTATGGGTAAACAAAAATAGCAACTTCTAGAGTTTGCGAACACATCGTTTTTTATATTTTCTCTTTCTTAAAATAGAAAAAAAGAATTTTCTTTCCTTCATCAAAAGTAACAAACTTTCATCATGAGTAATTGCAAAATTCTACTAGAAAATTCGAAGAAACAACTTTCGAACAGATTCATATAATAAAATTAATACACTCTTAATAAATATTTAGCATATTCGGATGAAGAAGAAATCTGTAATTTATGTTGTCAGTTATTAAGGCCCCTCCCCCCCTCAAAATTCGATCTCAGCTCCAGAACATCGTTATAGCATGAAACTTTGGGGATATGTTGGGGATGTAAAAGTACGTCTATGATAAAATTTTCAACCTCCTATCTTGATGCATAAGGTAGATACGAACCAAAAAAAGGGTCGAAAAATAGCTTATCGTAGCCCCCAAATTTCTCTATGGCTTTTCATTCAATTTAGTTCATTGTTTTTTCATATGAAAGAGAATGTCAGGATGCAGTGCCTCTGAGGGCCCTTTTTTTTTTAATTCTTATTTTTAATTAGAAAAAAAGGCTTCACAAGTTCACTCACTCAAAAAGTCCTCAAAAAAATCATGCTTGTATTATAGAGTCGCTTTTCAATATATCAATAAGAAAGCTTTATCAAAAAAAGGGCCCTCAGAGGCACTGCATTCTGACATTCTC